ATCCTCCACAGGACACCAGGGTAGCACCTCCTAACATGAGGGAAAACCCAGTTAGAAAATGCTAATGACAACCCCCAGAAACAAGTCCTCCGGCCCGCCCTGTGGGCACCCTGCGTGTGGCAGAGGGGAGTCACCTGGAGGGCCAGGCCCACCACTCCAGGTCTCTCCCACATAAGTGGAGCTGACCTGTGACAACACCACCAGGTTTTCTTGAGAATTGAATGAGATGATTTATGCAAATGTCCCATTACACTTTGTTCCCTTCCTTCATTCGTTATTTTGATGTTTTGAGTTTTTATAAGATACAATTAATTTCTTCAAGTGAATGGATAAGCCTGATTTCAACATTATGATAATCCTCTGATTATGTAAATCCATCTTCCCTAATAAGCCACTGGGGGCGCAGACAGGTAAAAAGTTCTCAGCCCCAATGTGATGCAGAGAGACGCAGCACAGCTACTGGTCGCTCTGCTTAGCAGCAGGCCCTGAATTCTGTACATAGCCTTTAAAAATTTTTTTTTCATCAAGGATTAGAGTAAGCCCTATGGAACCCTTTTTTAGTTAACAAGCCTAGAACTAACCTTTTCACTTTCCATTGTTAGATGCTTTGCAGAAGCACTTTACCTGAACTATTCTTCTGCGTCAAGCTTCCTATCATTTGATCAACCTGCAGATGGCTTCCAATTTGCCTCACAAATGTGCTAGCAATTAACAATCCTATCTGTTTAAGGCGCAGTAATGGCATGTAGCTGTTTCAGTGGAAACAAACTGGGAATACTGAAAACATTAAGAAAAAAACAGTATTGAGAAGCTCAGAGTGATTTCAGGATGATAGTTCACATTGTAAGGATAAGTAAGTTCTATAAAACAAAGTTTTAGAATGTAATGGTTTCAAGGTCTATTCTAAATATCCTGCAGTGTTTTTAAAATTGCAGGGTATACATTTATTGATTCTTAATGATGAAAATTTTTATATGAATATAGTGCAGACTTTCCAGTTCCAAATTAAATAGGGGAGGTTGAAAAACATGGTTCAGATATGTTTAATTTAATTTACAAATTACAACATATATGTCCAGATTCCTAATGCCAAGAAAAAACTTCTAGGCTCAGCACCTGTAGCTCGGTGAGTAGGGCGCCAACCACATACACCAAAGCTGGCAGGTACAAGCCCAGCCTGGGTCTGCTAACCAACAATGACAACTATAACCAAAAAAAAAAAAAAAAATAGCCAGCGTTGTGGGCGCCTGTAGTCCCAGCTACTCGGGAGGCTGAGGCAAGAGAATCGTTAAGCCCAAGAATGAGGTTGCTGTGAGCTGTGACATCATGGCACTCTACCAAGGGCAACATAGAGAAACTCAGTCTCAAAACAAAAAAAGAAATAACTTCTAAAAATACAATTTTTATTTTAAATGAAAGTTCAAAAAAATGCATTATTCTCCAAAGCACATTTTTATTTAAGAAAGAGGTAATTGCATCAACACCATGCTAATATTGTCATTTGCAACAGATGAAAATTTAAGCCAATGGATATTTCATTTATATCATATTAAATAACTATAGTAAATCACCTGGTAGCATCAGTGTTAACATACGTCGCAAGAGAAATTATGACCAAGACTCTCAGTTATTCTGGAAAGTGTGTACACCAGTAAGGAAACTCAGAGCACTACCAAGAAAAAAAAAAAAAATATATATATATATATATATACACACACATATATATTTAAACTAAACATATTGTATATAATATATAAAATATATTATGTGTATACATATATATATTTGTACACACACACAGATACATAGGCTGGACATAAAGTTCATGTGCAACTTACTATGTTAAACAATGTTAAATGGCGCACACACTTTACGTCCACCGGTATATAAGTTTATAAAGACAGAGAGCAGGCAGCTCTTGGCCCGGGACCAGCAGTTGTTTTCCAAATCTTGCTACTGCTCCAACCTCCAAGCCCCTCACCTTTCTTTCAGCCTATCATGATACCAGATGCCTGGACGTCAGTCTGACTCCACTGTTTTGCTGTGTGTGGACTTAGGATTTGACTCATATATTGCAGGGTTAGAGCAAGCCTGCTGTGTCCCTATTGTATACAAACTTCTTTCTGCCATGGCTGAAATAACAATGCAATTGCTGCCACGTCAGCTAGTCAGTCAGAATTATTCTCACCCTGATCTTGACACACACAGCTTGACACACTGGATAAATTAGTAGTAGGATCTAGCCTGGCTCATGCTGCCGGACCCATCCCCCCAACCCCGACCCCCTCTGCCCTGGCCATGGCCTCCCGTGACTCACCATTGACTTGTGAGCTACATGCACGTGCTGCGAGACCTAGACAGAAATACACTAAACCTCCCTTACTGCTCCCTTTTCAACTACTTGCAAAGTATAGATACATATTTTACCTGTTGCTACAACGTCTTTTCTTGCCTTAAGGAAGCAAAGTCTCATCACGGCATTACTGCCCTCAGTGTCAGTCTGAGAGGTGTGGACTCCTGTGGGAGACTGGGCTGCCATGGGCTGACTGGAGTGGTTTCTCCCAGCACTGGGAAGTTTTTGAGGTTCTGTGATGGAGACAAAGAAAGGTGCCCTAAAAACATCTGCTTCCCAAACTGGTGCCCGTGGAAACAACAGGCCCACCTCCCTCACCGTCTCAATCACGCTCAGGTTTCACTATAGATTTGCAGTCAACATTCATCAAGCCTTTCCTGCTGTTCACTTCTTCAGCCTCGACTTAAAGAATTCCTTGATTTCATTTTTGTTTTGCATATTCCATACTATGTTTTCTCTTGATATGAATTAATAAGGACTTGATATTATAGTCACTGCTAACATCTTAGCCTGATATGCAAGACTAGTGCAATTCTAATATCATGGCATTTTCAGCTTATTAATAATTAATATTAATCTTGCAAAAATGTTAATGAACAAGAGGTCTTCTGTTAGCAACACTGTTTGTTAGGGAGTTACCCTGGAGAGGACATGCCTGACAGTGATCCAGTGATACCATCTCTAGGGCACACTAATGAATACTGGAGAAATTCATCTCAGAATCTCCGATGACCGCATGGTTATAAAAAATCTGTACAGAGCTGTATACAATTTCCTGCTATAAAAATTTTAAAACAAGAAATCTATATAAAGCCCTATTGTGTCTTTTAGAAATTTGATACCATTTACTTTTCTCTCTGTTTCTGTCTTCTGAAGTCCAGCATAAAGAAAGAGGCAGAATTCTACCCTCTCCATGGAAGCTCATATGAATCCTGATGGTTAATTCTTTCTACAAAAAGCAGGTCAGAGATTTGTGTTCGCAGCCAAGCAACCTCTAAATCTCTTCAGCTGATTCTCTTACTCTTAATAAAGTACTTCCTCAGCTTTTCAAAAAAGAAACTTCATCCGATGACCAGTCTTTTCCTAAAGTTGAATTCAGCCTCTGAGTTTATTCAACTGAGACAACAGAACCTCACAGGGCCATGAGGAATGACATATTCATTACCCGACTAAATGAGTCTAAGGAAAACCTTTAGTATCTAAGGAAACCAGCATAAAATGTGAAAGGCAATTGTCAAGACATTTTGTTTCAGTATAAAATATTCATGTGCTCTGCTAAACTCCATAAAATACAATATACTCCCATCTAATGCTCCTCAGAGGACTCTAAAGCAAGGCATAACTTAACATTTCCAGGCAGCATAATATTTAATATGAACTCTAGACTGAGCCTGAACAGCCTGTGAAGTGAACACAAGTTCCCATTTTCTTACCGAGGGGTACCCAAGGTTCACTCGAAGCCAATTTGGCAATGAAG